AAGGAGGTGCTGATCCAATTAGGATCTGAAGACCTTTTAACATGTATTTCTTCCTTGGTACTAAATCCCATATCTTGTAGCAATTTCTGCCAGAAGATGAGAAGAAAAAAAAATTAAAAGAATGATGGTAGAAACAACTCAACTAATTCTTCTACAAGAAATAGAAAAACTAGCAGCATGTACACATAGTAAATGGAAGTATTGACAGTTGTTCCCCAGATAGTTTTCACCTTATTTTAGTTAAACTGCCTAATTAACAAGAATCTAACATAAAATTCATACAGTAATTAGTTTGGCCTTTCTTACTTTAGTTAACAGCACGTGTCCAACAGCTCACATATAAGTCATTGAATCTAAGAGTATCAGAAGCTCATTGACAAAAAGGGGTGATTGCTCAGTTTCTCCACTGTACGTACTGCATACAATTCCACTCTCACATTTCCTTTACTACTATCATTTAGACTTCATATGAAATCCTATAAACAACATATTTCATACATAAAAAAATCAAAAAATCTCATATTTATTGCTTTTTCACCTTCTTTTTATCAAAAAGGGGGTCACTTTCAGATAGTTCAAGCACAATTGAGCAGTCCTTATCCAACTCCATGGCATCATGAGATGATAATTGCTGCGATTTACAAATAAAGCATAAAAAACAATTTACCCATAGATAATGAAGGAAAAAGAGCCCCACAACAAAGCGCACACAGGCACACTAATATTAGTTGAGTAACGCAGGAGGGGATTCAAACACTACTTAATAATGTTTCTCTGTCCCACATAAATAATTAGGTTCCATTTGTTTACACATTATGCATACAAGCAGTTCAATCATGAGACGGGATTTATAGGAATCTTGTAGAAATGACTAAAAAAAAGAACTGATTAAAGAAATTTAAGAAACCAGAAGAGTCAGAGTAATTTTAATCCTAACTAGAAAGCAATGCACAAATTTCACGACTTTTACATATAATGTGGTCAAGCACATGCCAATAAAAAACAGTAAGGAGAAACCCACCAATAAAAGACAGTCAAGAACACAAAGATCATTTGTCTCTTGAGCATATATAGCGTTGTGTATAGCTGTGTGTCTATATCAAAACTTAAACCCTACACAGATATGAGATATGAAGCTTATTGAGGAAAAGTGCTTCAAAGATGATATATGAGGGGCAAATTAGGTTAAAAATCAAAGCTTGTAAATAATGGAGGCAATAAACCGTCTGCTTGGAAATCGTCAGAGATGAAATAAATTCAAGAATCATGCAGAAAGGGAGTTGAAATTGAATACAAGATCGAAAGTTTTTAGGTGTTCTTACAATTTCTAAGCACGTAAAGAGAAGACAAAAGAAGCAACAAAGTTGGAATTCAGAATGCAATCTATGGAAATGAAATTTCAAGAACATAGAAGAGAGCAACAAAGTCGCAGGAAGTTAAATAAAGAAAGAGAAGTTGAATAGTAAGGGGGTTTACTTTATTGACAGCCATTGAAGCGCAGCTCAAAGAAGAACCGTAACGAGAGAGAGAGAGAGAGAGAGAGAGAGTGAGAGTGAGTTTGGGCGGCAAGAGTGAGTTGTTGTAACTTGGAAAAGCCAGGGAGGAAACGTTTCTTCTGTTTATTCTGTTTATTTTCTGTTTTGATGGAAACGCCAGGGAGGAAACCTTTTTTTCTTTCCCTTTTTCTATTTGGTATTTTTCTCGGTCGCACAGCATACGTGTATTAATTGGTAAAATTTTTATAAAAAAAAACTTTGAAAAATTCGCCATTATATAAAATTTTCATATTATTTATTTAAATGTTTTAATTTTTTTCTATTAAATAATATGTGAAAAATATGTGTACACTGTGTGTATTTTGTATAAAAAAAATATGTGTATTAAATATGAAGACTACATGCATAAGTGCATATTACATGTATTATACGAAGAAAAAAACTTGTACTTTGTCATGTCTTCAAGAGAGTATGGAAATTAGAAATATTTAAATATAAAAAAATCGTAGTATAGCCGAGCGGCTATACTATTTGATTAAAAAATTAATAATAAAAAAGGACCCTCCTAGTTGCATTAGTTTGTACCTTATAGATGTTAATTTGCAACATATCCAAAATAGATATTAATCTTCCACTATATGATATTTTAATGTAATTTTTATAACATATGTTATTCTTATTCAATAATATGTGAGAATTATTTATATAATACATGAATTTTGTGTGTCTTACAAAAAATTTTGAAGAAAATACGTGTATAAAATATTAGAAACATGTACGTACATGTACAATACGACTATTGTATGTTTACTTTTTAAAGAAAACGTGAGACGTGAATAGAACATGAATGTATTGTTGAAAAATACGTACCTATGTATATATATATATGTAAAAGACTATGGCCGCTCGTCTATACCACTTATTAAAGACAATAAATAAATAAATAAAACCCTGCCCTGCTATACTATTATTTTACAAAAATTTGAACAAAAAATCCAGTATAGCCGCATGGCTATACTATTCGAAAACAAATTAAAAACTGAGTAAAGCCGTACGGCTATAATATTTTAATATAAAAAAGAGGACCCACAGCCTTTATGAGCCACGTGTCAACACGTGCCTTTTTAAAAAATTAAAAATTTGAGTATAGCCTTACGGCTGTAAAAAAAAAAAAAAAAATTTTAAAAAAAAATAAACTCTGTCTCTTTTAAGCCATGTGTCAAAATATACGTACAGCCGCCCGGCTATACTATTTGATTAAAAAATTAATAATAAAAAAGGACCCTTCTAGTTAGGGGTGGTTGCGGTTCGGTAACCGTGAATTTTTGCCCAAACCGCAAACTGACCGACTAATTGTGGTATGATGATTTTTGAAACCGCGAAAAACGGTTGGTTACTGTGAATTAGCGGTTTAAAACCGCAAGTTCTTTTTGTGTTATAAAAATCCAATCTTCCACATTTTAGGCCTAATTTTGATGCTTCTTTTGAAGCCTTTTGAGTTCAGGCATACTTTAACCCAAAAATATAAATTCACAATTTCAACTTCTCAAGCATTCACAACCTAAAGAAAATTAAAGTTACAATTCCAAGCATTCCAATTAAAGTTAAACTTCTCAAGCATTTCAATTCCAAATCCTTTAAAGTTACAAACCAAAAGGAAAATGCAATGCAAAATGAATTAAAGTCACAACCCAAAGGAAAAATCCAATTCAAAATTAATTAAAGTTACAAACTAAAAGGAAAATGCAATGCACCAATGTTACAAAGTAAAGTTACAAACTTAAGTGTTGGTGGTGGCGAGTGGATTTAAAAGACCCCGTTGTGTTGTTTTAGAATCAATGCTATCTACAAAATGCAATTTATTTTTTTTTTTTTTTTTTTTTTTTTTTCAATCACGGTTAGTGCGGTTTTACCGCAACCGTTTTGAAAATCAAATATCTTAATCGCAAACGCAAATGCAGTTCAGTTTCCCGCGATTGCGGTTTTATTGCGATAAATTGTTGATTGATTTTTGCGGTTTTTCTGTCTAAAATGCCACTCCTACTCCTAGTTGCATTAGTTTGTACCTTATAGATATTAATTTGCAACATATCCAAAGTAGATATTAATCTTCCATTATATGATATTTTAATATAATTTTTATAACATATGTTATTCTTATTCAATAATATGTGAGAATTTTTTGTATAATACATGAATTTTGTGTGTTTTACTGAAAATTTTGTAGAAAATACGTGTATAAAATAAGAAATATGTACGTACATGTACAATACGACTATTGTATGTTTGCTTTTTAAAGAAAATGTGAGACGTGAATAGAATACGAATGTATTGTTGAAAAATACATACCTATATATATATATATATATGTAAAAGACTATAGCCGCTCATCTATACTACTAAAATTTAAATAAAAAAACCCTGCCCAGCAATACTATTATTTTACAAAAATTTGAAAAAAAAATATAGGAGAAAAACAGAGCATCCAATCGTATAGCCATACGGCTATACCGTTCTAAAAAAATTTAAAAACTGCGTACAGCCGTACGGCTATACTATTTTAATATAAAAAAGAGAACCCCAGCCATTAGTTGCCACGTGTCAACACGTGCCTTTTAAAAAAATTAAAACTTGGAGTATACCCGTTCGGCTGTACTTAAAAAAAAGAAGCTCCGTCTTTTAAAGCCACGTGTCAAAAAATAAGTATAGCCGCCCGGCTATACTATTTGATTAAAAAATTAATAATAAAAAAGGACCCTCTTAGTTGAATTAGTTTGACCTTATAGATTTTAATTTGCAACATATCCAAAGTAGATATTAATCTTCCACTATATGATATTTTAATATAAATTTTATAACATATGTTATTCTTATTCAATAATATGTGAGAATTATTTGTATAATACATGAATTTTGTGTGTCTTACTGAAAATTTTATAGAAAATACATGTATAAAATATTAGAAATATGTACGTACATGTACAATACGACTATTGTATGTTTGTTTTTTAAAGAAAACGTGAGACGTGAATAGAACATGAATGTATTGTTGAAAAATACGTACCTATATATATTTTGGCCAAAAAACAAAAGTAAAGAAACTTATTTTATATTTTTAAAATGTAAAAAATAAAAAATGAAATGCAAAAAACAACCTCTCTCAATGAAATTTCCCTAGAGCCCAAGAGCCCCAAGGCCCAAGTCTTTGATTAATATAATCATTATGAATGAAATCCAAATTCAAAGCCGAGCCTATAGCCAAGCCCATTAGCCCCACTTTGCATTGTTAACAAGACTCGCTAAATTATCATAGTGTTATGTTTATAAATATCTTTATAGGAGTGTGGATTTTCAATGTGAGATTTTCACAAAGGGCACCTCAAAAGATAATATATTATGGTAAAAGTTAAACCTTAGAAATTCCATATTATACTGTCACTTTTAATATAGTAGCTGGGAAACTTGTATCTCTTTGATGGGTCTGGCCTCCAGAGTAATTCTAATATGGGATCCCTGACATCTTTACCTAAGGATTATCAACATACACCAACTGTGAATCGGCCAAGCAGAAATCCAGGGGAAGAAGATGGCAAGGGGGGACCAGATGATAGACTTGTCAGGATCCGCAACATATTTACACTCTGTGGAAACTACAGAGAGCGCTCTCAACATGTGACAAGTCCAGCACCTACTGTTGCATCAGTTAAATCAGAAAATGAGCAGAAACTGACAGAAGGGATAAACAAACGTCGAGTATGTGATGAGATGGCATTGGCTTCCAGGGAGAACTACAACCCTTCAGATGTGGTCACTGATGCAGATACTGAAGTGTATGCAGGGAAGTTCATTACAACAGTTAAGGTTGTAAAACATGCAAGCCTTGCTGACCTGCGAAAGTTGATTGAAATTTATCTTGGTGCAGACAATCAAGCATTCACTTTTCTGATGCTTGGGGTATGTCATTTCTAAATTCTCTAGCTTGTTGATCTCGTCTTAAAAAATGAAAAACTTTATTAAGACAATCATGCTAACATGGTTGTTTTTATTCAAAAAAAAGTTCTTATAAATCAAGAAATGTAGTGCATCTTGCTAAGTATTTAGGAAAATAGGAGAGAGGAAATCTGTAATTGAGGAAGAGAGAGCTTTGAGAATTCTAGAATGGTGGGAATCAAATCTGTTTTTCTCATTACCACTTTACACGTACGTACCTTCACGTGTTCAACATAACTAATTACAGACACGTCGCACACTAATTCTAATCATTAGCTAAACACATCTCTGTGATTAAGAAACACTTGGTTCAAACACGTGGCCCACTGGAGCTTCAGTACCAAAGGAGAAGGAAGCAACAATTCAGGCCACTAAGCTTCCTCTATGCAACAATAAATCAAATGGCTACCTTGCTAGCTTGAGACCACTGAAGGGAATGCAAAGCCCAAGTCAGCTCCCTTTAAGTCCTCTCCCATTGAAATCACTGGAAAATAGACTACCACTAATTAAAGTAATTAAAAAATACTAAAATTTGACTTAATAACATAAATTAAATTAAAGAAGGTTGTCAAAAAACAAAAGTAAAGAAACCTCAGCCACCTCAGCCACTCACAACGCCGCTGCGAGCTCGGAAAGATATGTGGATTTTGAGTTTTCCAATGCCGTTTTCAGCAACTCCGGCTGTTGTTTCCTTCGATCGAGGTATGAAACTTCATCTATTCTTCGTGCTCTAGTTGTTTATGTATGTGGTTAGGATCGATTTTGGAGTTTTGGAAATTAATCAATACACCCAAGTTTGACCCCGCGACTTTGGTAGTGTTCTGAGTTGCTCCGGCCACATTTTGGCAGGGGTCCGAGACCAAAAATTACTCCCCTTGTTAGTCTGAATATGTTGGTATAGGTATTGTAGGAAGTTTTGAGATGTGAGAATGTGGTGGCTGACCATTTGAGCAGAATTGTGGTTGAAGAATAAGGAGAAGCTGTATGGAGCAGTGAAGATTCAAAATCCTAAAGATGGCTTGACTTTCAAAGTAAATGGACAACGTTCAAAGCCATTCTATGAGGGAGTTTCAGCTGGCATTCGAACTGGCCATATGGTGGATCAACTTCCCTCCATACCATCAACTTACATGATTGCATAATGTCTTGCTAAGACATTAACTAAGGCGCTTCTTGGATGCAACCCATGTGTTCAATTAGAAGGTACTTGGAAGCGGTCGCCGGTCGACCTAATCGCATCAAGGAGTTTTTCTAAACCTTTTCTTAACTTTTCCCTTTATCATTTACATGTTCTCAATCATCTTTATTGTGCTTTAACAATGAGGACAATGTTCAATTCAAGTATGGGGGAAGGTTTTCAATTTTCGTTCGTTTGTCACTAATTTTTTTTAGAATGTCATACAATCGATGCTATGGAGCTACCATTGAGGTTTTCATATCAAAATTTAGCACTTCACAAAGCTTTTGCTCTTAGAATTCTGGTGGCTAAAGTACCATGTTCAAATTCTTGAAGGAGAATAGTGGAGACTACCCTAGTGAGCTATATCAAGCCTAATTGCTTTCTTGAGAGGGTTTAAAGTGTTTCTATTTCTCATCCCTACTTATTTTATTCAATTCACTATAAATGATCTCATTGTTCCATTTTGATTTAATACTAAGGATGATTCTCTTCTTCAGATATCATGTGCTTGCTCTCACTCGTGAATGACCTCATTGAAGTGATGCTAGACTATATGTGCATAACCATTCTATGTGCTTTCTTTTCATCCTTAAATATCCAAAAAAAACTTAAATGATTTTAGAAACAAAACTTAAATATCCAAAAAAAAAACTCAAATGGGCTTTTACAGTAGGCCCAAACGGTGGGTACTGGGAACCGAATCGGACTGTAACCAATCTGGTTGGGTTTGGTTCTAATATAAGTTTTGTATACAAAACCAAATTGGACCATATGAAAAGTACCAATTCCGATTCCTGTTTGGATATTAAAATGAATAAGATTATTTGGTCTTGGTCAAATTTGTTTTGTTTTGAGAGGTTATCTTCCTTAAGTGGCGTTGAAGTAAAGTAAGAAAATGACAGATTGGAATTCAAATATCATCATATGTAAAAAGAAAACTGATATGTTGTGAGAACACATAAATGGTGGAAAGATTTAATTCCAGCCATACATCCACTGTCAGTAGAGATCAACATGCATGAGGTACATGATCTGCCCTCTAAGAATACATACTCTTAAAATTTTCAAAGTCTTAGGCATCCGAAACTCTTTCGGGTAAATCACACCAATGTACGAAGAACTTAGATTTTTTTATATAATAGTCGTCATTGCATTTACCATATTAGTAAATAATGTTGTTTTGCTCACATGAACCTTCCCGGGAAAACATATTTGGCTCCCCCTTCTTTGATACTCTTGTTTAATTTTCCACTTCAATTTTGGATCTTTTTATCTTTTCAAGTGATTGGACAGAAATCGATCCAAGATAAGTTCAGCATAAGAAACGCAAACATTTAGCTGGTCTAAATTGCTTTTATTGGTATGAGAATCCATGCCCTTCTTTTAACAGTTTGAAAGAATTATGAGAAATCGTTCGTACTCCTGTTTGGTCTAAATTTGTAATGTACTATACAAACAATTGTCACCACTCCTTTTTCACCAAATCAGAATTTGATTCTCCCCCTAGCTTTTCCTCTATTTTTCTTGGCCTGAAACTGTTGGGGTGTTGAAGAAAAGGCATTAGACATACCACTGGGGACCTAAAAAAAATTGAAATCAAACTAACCACAAAAGGGATAAATTGGATGACCTCAAATTTTTTGAAAACTACTTATTGTCATGTAATCAAATTAGCTTATAATGTCGTGACTTGTGAGCGTTGCAATTATAGTGGTAGAGTACTTATTCTGACACTTCCGAGTTTCTCTCTTCTCCGTATTATTTTTTGTTGAGAAATTCTGAAATTGCATTCATAATTCAGCTAAAAAGCCACTAGCCACAAAGGGCCAATACAAACTAGCCACAAAGAGCCATTACAATAACGGAGCGATCTAACATCAAAATTAAGACACTCTGAAGCTCCTCCACTAAGGATCACGCATAATCGAAGAAACTCTAACATAGGCATCCTAACTAAGAGTGCAAACTCAAAACAACCAAAAATAGATGAAGCTTGAAAAAACTAAGCCATAACAATACAAATAAGACTCTTACAAAGGATAGGTGGAAAGCTCTCACAAAGGAGAGATGAAAACTACACATAAAACTAAAAAAGTCTCTGCGACCTATTTCAAACATGAAGAAATCGCAAAAAGGATGGTGGTAGAGATCCAACAAAGAATTGCGTGTGAAGATTTGACACTGAGACGCATCCGCATGTGATGAGTGGAGGAAAATCATTATAAAATGAAGACAAATAGGGAAAGCCTTTTGTCTCTAAAAATTGAGGAAAAGAGGAGAAGGGAGGAAGGGAGAAGGGAGAGGGAAGGAAGAAGAGTGGCTTCCTCCCCTCGAAGTGAAAACAGTTATAGAGTGTTTTTTAAGAGGGAGGGAACTAGGGTTTTGAGAGAGGTAGACCTCCCGCTCTTCTCCTTATCTAAAATTAGGAAAGAAAAAAGAGTTAGCAAATTAATGTCATGTTCTAATGCTAGAATCGCAATCATTTTCATTTACATAAATTCACCATTGCCAACCAACAATATAAAACAAAGTACAGAGAACATACAAACCTCCTCACCCACCCGTCCACCTCCTCTACTAGGAAATACCACTATTTCTCTCCACCAAGAATGAAAAATCAGCATAATATTTACAAATCTTTACTACAATACAAAAATGCTTATGTCTCCATCCACTATACCTATATTGGAAATCTATAATTCTATACTGTTCTTGGGTCAACTTACTTATAATTTTTTTAAAAAAAAAATATTTTGGAAATTTTATTATAGGGCCTTCCCGAGACTTCATGGTTATATTCTTGGTGAAGAATTTGTTTACCAATGGCCACATTGACCAGCAGGGCCTGGATTTGCACATTTTTCCAGTGGTTCACAGATGCATGGAATGGAAGCGATGTAGATTCTTCTTTTGACAAATTGCTGGCTGCATTTGTGACAATTATATTTTATTTTATTCGGATTTTAATCCATATCCATGTAATCTTATTTTAGTCCAGTCAACAAATTGGTCTAAGATCCTCATACTGGAAAGTAAGTTGGTTTTTTTTGTCCTTAACTTTTCAGTAAGCCGCACACCATTGAATTTATTCTCATTTTTGGATATGCCAATGGAAAATGTACTTCCTTTATTATTTATTTATTTATTTGGTGGGACAAGTAACATGGCTCAATGGGGAACAAAAAGAATAAAAATCTTTCTATTGATTGATTTCCATGGGAGAGAAATACTGAAAAATAGGACTATGTTGTTTAAGAGTGGAGTTCCCTGCTGGCTGGGTCAAAACATGTTGCATGCTTCACCTCCGACGTCTCATACTCAGTGAGGGGTCATGCGCGCATGCTCATCTTTATTTTAGATGTAATGCTCTCGTGCTAAGTATCTGTATATTTATGATCAAATTTGAATCGCACATTCAAACGACTTAATTTAAACCACACATTCAAACAACATACCGAATAACATGTAATGTTTCACATTGATAATTTGAGAAGTTACGTTTGACTTAAAATTATTGTGTGCTTGTAGGCCATTTTTTATGAGTTGGAGATTGCTAGTAAGAGTGGTTATTTGGCCATCATCATTGAACCATTCTAAGTGTGTTGTGGACTTGGTGGCTGCACCCTTTTTTTCAGCTTGATTTCAAGCTGCAAGCTCTTGATGACCAATGGGTCTTGTCGGATTCATCATTCTTATAGGGAGCCTCATTTTGTTGCAATGAAGCTAGCATTTCGTGGGTTTTGCTGGGGGAGGGGAAGACCGACACAAGACTTCTAGTGTAGGACAAGTGCATGGTTAGGTGAAAGGAAATTACTTTTAGCTATTCGAGCTACAAGTTCTTTGAAGATAGATGGCTATTGCATTATGGTCATGAGATGCTTACATTCTACTTGCACTAAATTCTTGTTGGAAAATTTGGTTGATGGACGTTACTTCTCCTGCAATACATCACATAAAATAAATGTTTGAAAAATTATAATTTACATTGACTTATCAAGTTAAATAAAATTACTGTCAAATACTTATCTTTTAGAATGTAGAAACTAGGTCTTCATATATATAAGCTTGATGGGACTAAGAGCTTTAGGTTGAGGCGTGTAATTACTATCCTTAAGAGTAGATTTTGTCCCTTGAAAACAAAGTCTCGATGTAACAAATATCCTTCAAGATACAACAATCTATGACCCATCTATGACCCTTATAAACATATACTCACATTACTTGAGTTAGGTGAACTACTTTAATCTTTCCCGTGAACCCAAACTTTGAAAAGTTTACAAAGAAATAAGAAGAGTTTAGAGGAGAGAATAGGAGAAAGAGACGTTTTGCAATAAAAGATTCTATTGATAAGAGTATTATATTGTTGCATGTTTGGCAAAATAAAAGACTAAAAATTTCGCTAACGGGGTCTAGCCCAATAAGAAAGTGTGTGTCAACATTCCTCCCCCCTTCTGACAAAAACATGAACATTCCTCCTCCTTATAGTTTAGACGGTTACTTATATTAAAAAAAAAGGTTTAAAATTCCAATAATGAAATTGATAAGAATTGAATAAATTAAAATATAACTATAGACATAAATGGACGCACTAAAGTTTCTTTAAATAAAAAATTTCACCTTCGCAATAGTTTCAGTTAATTGGCCCAATTCAATTAGTAGTGCACAACTTCTACCAATGAAGTTAGAGCATCTCCAAGGTAAGAGGCAAAAGAGTAGGCAAATGAATTTGTCTTGCCATATCAGCATTTTCATGCTTAAAAGAAAGAGGCAAATGGGTATGTAGAATATACATACTCTCCCCAACAAGGCAATATTGCCTACTTCAAAGTGAAGATGTATATTGGGCCCCACTTGCTTTTTATAATAAAATATCATCTCCACTTTCTCACACACTTTTTATAAATACAAATTTATAAATAAACCCAATCCTAGACATGTATTTATAAAAAAATCCAAGCACTATTTAAACATAGAAACACACCCAAAATCAACCCCAAAATCAACAATTGTATATTTTTTGGGTGTGTTTATAAATGGGTTTTGAGTGTGTGTAATGATGGGTTTTGGGTGTGTTTATAAAGTGTTTTGGGTGTTGGGTTTTTTTTTATAATTTCAACCCCTATTTTGGGTGTTTTAGTGAAACTCCCTTTTATAAAATATAATAGTAAATGTAAAAGATAAAAATAAATAATATAATAATAATTTGTACACTTGCATTGCCTAGTCCCTTGGAGTGACCAACTTTTTTCATGAGACAAATGGGTAAGCAACGTGCCACCTGGGTTGTTATAGTACAATTTTACATCCTATAAGTGGTGGATCCAGTGTTAGGGGTGAAATATGGAAGTGCGAAGCATTTAGTTTGAAGAAAAAGATTTTAAATATTAATTAACAAAATGTTCATTCATAGTGGTGCAAAAAATAGTACAATTCACAATTGCCTACGACGTATTTTCATTTTCTAACTTGACACAAAATAATACAATTCACAATTGCCTACGATGCGTTTTCATTTGAAAATGCTCTATGATAACAACTTCTTTACCTTGACATATAAGTTATATGGTGTTAGCCAAATCTTCTAGTCATAGTTTTTGTTGCTGTTGTTTAGCCAAATCTTCTCTGCAACCAGGGGCGGCCTTGGGGTGGTGCAAGTGGCACCACCGCACAAGGCCCCTAATTTTTAAGGGCCTCTAAAACAAAATTCTTTATATTATATATATTAATATTATAGGAATGGTATATATACTTTAGAATGCTGCATATTATCATAAAAGTGTGTGTGACAGAACTGACTTTGTAGCTCATATCTGTTAATAGAAGTTGAGGTCATTCTACCCTTTTTTTTTGCATTATAACAACAAAAAACGCTTTCTTCAGAAAGAAAACAAAAAACGCTTTCTTCAAAAAAAAAAAAAAAAAAAAAAAAAATTGTTGGCTTCTTTATCTTAAACTATGATTTTCTAGTAAGTAATTATCATCATTCATCAATCTCTCTTTGGTTCATTTTTTCAATCCTTTGACAATTTTTGTCACAAGAACGATCAAACAGACTAGCTTTGATTTCAATTGGAAGGGAACTTCTAGAAAAACTTGATTATGAACATTTGATTGATGATCTCTCTTCTAAAAATTCAAGAAAATCAATTTTCATATATTAAGTTTGTACTTGTGTTTTTTTTTTTCTTTTGGGGAAAAAAACTCTTGTAATAGTTTTAATTCTTTAAATAAGGATAACAAATACAATGTGAATGACTTTTGAATAGTAATGCATGTTTTTGTTATTACATGTTTACCGATGATGATTTTAGTTATAAGTATTTTTATATTAGATTATGTGAGGCTCCTATTTAAGTTTACCACAGGGCCCTCAAAATCTTAAAATCTTAAAGGACAGCAACTTGTTGTTTATTTGTATTAGGCGCCAGGAAGGGAGGATATTCCATGTTGGCCTCGGTTAAAGAATGAGGGAAAAAGTCAAAATTATTTGCATTTTATAATGCGTGCAAATAAAGCAGCAAAAGAAGGTGCACCTCTCATTCATGGTGTGATGCCTACTCACAAGGCATGTTTTTCATGAAACAAAAAACTTCACATGTCGCCACGTAGGCCAAGATCTACTCTAGGCTTGACAACCCAGTGCCTTTCCAACTCAAAGATCAAAATCAACAACAACAACAAAAAAATGTCAACTTTTTACTCATTAGAAACCAAAACTTTCTCGCTGCTTTTTGCAAACTCAATCCTCCTTTAACAAACACAAAATCTGGGCCTTGTTTACCTGTTTCACCTTTTCATGCCTCTTTTTCCCAAACTACCCCCTCCTCTCTTCCTATCCATTGACACAGTCTTTTTTTTTCTTTTTCTTTTTTCAACAATATCATAATTATCATTACTACAAACTTAAGTACAAATCGACAACCCAAACTCAAAAATGTTCTAAGAAAAACTCAATTGGGCTACCAAACCCTTTTACTTGTTTTCAAAAACAGCCTGTGATCAGCAATGAAATACTTTTTTTGCCCTTAATCAACGGCCCTCAATAATTTTTTGTCACTGGTTGAAATGACACCGGTCATATTTATGGTCAACTAACCCAGTAGAAAATGATCTTAACTTATAGACTTGAATCTTAAGTTTGAACAGCATCTGTATGAGAAGTAATATTCTTTTCTTAAGCTATGCACCTCACATTTTCACCTAATTACTAATAAAAACCGTGCAAAACTGAACCAAACCGAACCTCGCCCCTTTTATCACAACAATGTCTTCGAGTTTCATCACTTGGTCACCATTAAAGTAGTTCTTTTTTTAACAAATGCTAACCATGGGATTTTGATCCAAATATATATGACCAGAAATGTTCATGTTCAATTAGTGTGACTGGTTTAATTCCAACATCTCCATCGAGAAGCAAATCTGGCCTTGTGGTCTCAGAAGCAGCAGCCGCTGAGCCAGCTAGCAAAGCGCAAGCAGCATATGCATAGAGGATAACAACTGATCAAAGATATGAACAGAAGCATTTGCACCAATTTTTTAACACATAAAGCAACGTAGACAAGAAATCATATCATATGGCCAACCAAACCACATGCAAATAAACAAGCTTTATCTATGGATCATATATAATGCAATAATATTGATATGATTATTCCTTTGGCTGCAAGTGTGCAAGTAAATGGATTTTGATTCATTATTGGAAACTACAAAGACAGATTTTTATAACATGTTAGAATTTGGATAATATTAGAACTAGAAAGCTTCTAACTTTTCTCATCCCAACAAAACAAAATTTGAAGATCCAATACTCCAAATGCAATAACCAATCAGGCCTTTTGCCTTTCTCTTTTCCAAATCTCCAACCCCATCTTCTCTCTGCTCTGCACCCAAAAAAAGAAACACAAAAAGGAAAAAGAAAACCTAACCTTGGTGACCTTCATTTTTCTATGATCTCATTATCTTCTTTCGGATCCTTCTCATCACCTTTCTTGCAGCTGTCCTCAACAAAGTCACAACCTTCTTCTTTAGGGCTCTCCAATGCCCTCTTCTCCTGCTCTTCTTCCTCCTCCTCCTCCAAATCATGGCCTCCATTAACCTTGTCCCTTGAACCACCCCCTGCATTGTTCTTCTCTGCCCTTGCCTTCAATGCCTCCAACAATTCCCTCACGGCGTTGCCCTTATCGCGCCGGTTCTTGATCAACACCTCACTCACATCAGCTGGTGTCATTCCAGCTTTTTCCAAAACCCCTTCAAACTCCTTCCCAATCTCCTCATCCAAATCACCCTCCTCATACCCCAAATAGTTCTTCAGCAGAATCTTCAACGCTGGAAATGAACAGTGGCTCATGAATATATGCATATCCATTCTTCCACTTCTCAGCAATGCAGGGTCAAGCTTCTCAATGTGGTTGGTTGTGAACACAAAAATCCTCTCACTCCCACAACAAGACCACAACCCATCAGTGAAATTCAACAACCCAGAAAGTGTAATTGAATTTCCACCACCACCTTCTTCTCCAGGAACTGAAACACCACCTCCACCTCCTCTCATTTCCATTGAATCATAATAAGTCCTAGCAGAAGCTCCTCCATCACCACCATTGTTTTTCTTCCTGTTAGTCAAATTAATTGAACAATCTATATCCTCAATCACAATAATAGACTTGGAACTTGTCTTCATCAGCAATTTCCTCAGCTCAGAGTTGGTGTGCACCTCAGTGAGCTCAAGATCATAAATATCATACCCAAGAAAATTAGCCATTGCAGCAATCATGCTTGACTTCCCAGTGCCTGGAGGGCCATACAGAAGGTACCCTCTTTTCCAAGCGCGCCCTGTCTTCTGGTAAAAGGCTTGGCCATTGGCAAAGTCCCTGAGATCATCCATAATCTCCTTCTTCACCTTTGGGTCCATAGCCAATGTGTCAAACGTGCTTGGATGCTTGAAGGGCACAGATTCCCAAGGATGGCCTCGAGAATCCAACGACCCACCTCTCGAATTTGTGTACAGAAGCCGATCCTGGTTTTTCCTTCGAATTTCGTTGGCCTTGTCCATTATGAAATCCAAGTAACTGTTGAGAATGACGTACTTGTCTTTCTTCTTGATGCGCAGAGTGAAGCCTCTTTTCTCCTCCGGCAATGGCCGCCATGAGAACGTCTGGGATTGCCTCTGCGTGACCACGTGCTCCCAGAGGACGGTGACGCCATTGAAGGCGTCCACCATGCAGTCATTGTTAGAGAGCCCAAAAGTGATGGCGCTGGAGTTGAGGGCACGTGTCAGGCTGAGGCGGGTGCCGGAGATGGAGACGGTGGAGCTCAGGTAGAGCTGGACGGCGTTGTAGAGCTCGTTGGTGTTGACGCCGTCGATCTCCGTGATGTCGAAGTAGTAGTAGGAGGAGAACCAGTGGAAGATCTTGTTGAAGAGCTTCACGAAGGCGAAGCGAAGCTCTGGTGGGAAAACTGTTTGGAGGAGGCTCTGGCAGAAGGCTAAAACGCCTAGCAAAGAGGCCAAAGAAGTCCAATACTCTTTCATTTCTGGTGTGGTTTGAAAATCTATTTTGAAGAAGATTTATGGGTTTTGTGTAATTGGGTTTTGAGGAGAGGCGGTGAGAGAATTCTTGGGATTTTGAGCAATGGATTTTGCTCAATTTATAGAGGAGAGTGGTAGGATTTTAAGTGTTGCTTGGGTTTTTTTTTAATTTAAAAATAAAAATAATAATAATAAAATGGTTTTTGCTCAATTTGTAGAGGGAGTGATGGGATTTTAAGAAATGGGTTTTGCTCAATTTATAGAAAAGTGATGGGATTTTGGAACCTCTGAGTGTTTTGGCAAATGGGTTTTGCTCAATTTAGAGAGGGAGTGGTGGAGTTTGGAGCTCTTGGGTTTTGCTCAATTTATAGAGGGGAGTGGAGTGGAGTTCTGAAATTGTTTCTCTGAAATTAGTGGATGAGAGAGGGAGAGAATAAAGCAAGGGTGAAAAAAAAATGCTTGAAAAGGAAAAGGGACTAGCTTTTGAAATGGGGAAAATTGGCTGGCCAAAGAGGGATATAAGTACAAAGGAGAACAGCAAGAGAAGGGGCTAAAAAACAAAAAGGGTTTCTGGAGTTTGGAGTTGGGAAGAATCAGAGATGGGGCCTATTGGGTTTTTGGGTTGAGAGGTTGAGTGATTTCCAGGGGGTTTTGTTGGACTTTTTCCCTGTACAATATTATGGAGGATTTGAAAGAGTTGCTCACTTGCTCTGTCATGAAGGACCGACGGATTGTGAAATGAGAGGAGATGATATTTCAAGATCTTGGAATGGGACAAAGAATGTGGTTAACCATGGGAGGGTTTTCCTGATAGCTGCAGCCACTGCTTATAAATCAAGTTTTAAAAAAAGCAGAGGGAAAATACTTGATAGGGATATGTGCATGTGGGGTTTGCAGGCATGATATAATGCAATTCTTCACATTATCATAATTTCATGAATTTCCCAACTTAACAAAATAGTTTGAAATAAGAAAGGAAAACAGAAAGAATATTGGACCCACTAAGCTCTTTGGGGTCACATGTCAAACATATTTATATGGTGTTTGTGTTTAGAGGATGCAATATGCACATCCTATGGTTTGTTAGTTACTAATTGCCACATATTCTGCCAAAGTGGCTTCATTTGGTGAAGGAAATCTTGAAAGACTGAGAAGATTTTTACTTTGAAATTAACATCATTGGGAACTGAGGCGCCTATTAATGCATGTGTAGGTTTGTTATGATGGGCTTTGTGCACAATGGTACAGGTTCTTAGCCTGTCTTAGCCAAAAAAAGAAATTTGTAACATGAATAGCACTGTTTTACTATTCTGACCAATAATACAATGACATATGTAAAAGTTAGTCCATGTGTCATTGCATTATTAGACGATGATAGCAAAAAATTTTATCCCCGTTGCACGAGAGTGTTTCTCTTGTCCTAGAGGTTTGAGAAAGACCCTTTATATTAATTGGATTTTCATAGCTTATGCTATTCCCCAATTAAATGTTTTTTTTCTTTTCAAATATAAGTTGGTAGGTATCTATAATCTATGTGTGATGATGAATAAAATTGTTTTTTCACCTAAAATTTATGAAACAAAACAAAAACCTAATCAAATAATTTCAAACCAACCTAATCTTCCAGCTTGGTAAACCCTAGCTTCATCCTCAACAAAAAAAACTCTCTAGCCGCAAAAACCTTGAGGGGGAGGTCATCGTTCCTTCTCCCATCTCCTCTCTTCTTTGACACACAAATCCCTCTCCACCCCCCTATTTTTCCCTCTCTTGTCCTCTCATCTCCTTCCCACCCACCTTCCCTCCCTTCTTACCCGCCCATCCCTTCACCTTCACTCTACTTTCTCTTTTTTAGCACATCTTGGGTTTGGGCTTTTGATTTGCTTGAGGACGATGTGGCTGCCTTTATTGGTTTTGTTGGGTCGTTTTGCAGATCTCGGGTTCCAGCACTTGATTTACTTCATGTGTTTGAGTTTGTTGTGTGTTCGTAGTCTCTACTTGTGTTTTTTTACTCATGAGAGTTTAAAGATTGTAGTTTGCAGTTGTACTTATGTGCGTTGTGGTCTATGCTTGACTTTTGCAAGCTTGTGACTTTTATGTTGGAAGTCTTCTATATTTGAATTTACCCTTTGTGGTTATTGTGCTTCGTATTTGTAATAACCTTGCATAGTTATCTGTATTTATACTGGCTCTTGTGGCCGACAGCCTTTGTGCGTGAATTATAAATGCAATTTATCGTTTATATATATATATATATACCATTATTACAAAAGACTAATTTCAAACCACACTTGATAAATGGGTATGGACCACTTTAGTTTTCCCAAATATAGCTTGCTTTTGTTGTTTGTTTGCATTATTGTTGTATAATTGAAGTGCTTAGATTGTAGATTATGATGCATTGCTCTCAAGGGTGGGGACCTTATCTATCTATTATTAAGGGTCTGAGTGAGAATAGCCAAAAAGAAAAAACTTTGTAGGAAATCATAATTGTTGTGTGAAATTTTGGTTTGTGAGCTTTGGATGTAATGTCTCCTCCAACATGACAAACAGCTTGAGCCAGCTAGTTGACCGAAAAAAAAAAGCTTGAGCCAGCTAGAAATAAATACATTTTGAAAAAAAAAAAAAAAAAAATTAAACGTTAGTTTTTTTAAAAAAAAAAAAAAAAAAAAAAAAAAAAAAAAAAAAAAAAAAAACCAACTAAAAGATACAGCAAGGAAAGCAAGATAAGGAGATCCATCTCTATTTCCTCATCAGTTTTGTTTTGTGTTGTTTTATTTGGTTATTGGTTGTGAGAAGAGAAGAAATAGTGACCTCCATTTTCCTTTTTTTTCTTTCCTTCTTTTATTTAATTTTGCTGGGGAGGTGTGTAAAAACTGTTTGATGTGTGTCTCAGAGAGAGAGAGAGAGAGAGAGAGGAGGTGGATCTTTATAAATTCTGAAAAGCCTTTTGCTTGCATGAGATGTTAAATCGAAAAAAAAAAAAGAATCCTTTTGGGCTTCGTTAATTCTGACTCAATTTCCCATCATTTCGTCACCTGCTCATAATATAAATTAAAAAACAAAAACTCAACCCCACAAAGACAAAGAGAACAGAGGCCGCAGAGAGCACAGCAAGCAGCAGCAGCAGAGAGATAGGATCAACCACACTTGCACGTAAAGCTCGTCCACTACGCAAAGCAACCTGCCATTGATTTTGAGACCGTACAATTTCTTTCACTCACACGTAATCGAAAATAAATGATAGTTACAAAATACACAGAGACTGGCAAAATAAAAAACACAGTACTCATGTCCTTCATTTGATGCTCCTCCATACATGACACGTCTACTGCATTCATTCATACACCATAGGACCATAGGTCCATAGGTCCATAGGTCCATAGGTCTTGCTAATAGGAATATGATCATTTTTCTTTGCTATTTTAACCGCAAAAGTCCTAAATTTATACCCGAGCTTTTTTTGGTCATCTCACTCACTTTTGAGTAATTTCGGTAGTCCAACTCTAGCACTTGCTGTAATTTAGTCAATATGTGCAACAATTTTCATTTAGTCTACTGCATAGGTCCATAGGTGTTGCTAATAGGAGTATGATCATTTTTCTTTGCTATTTTAACCGCAATAGTCCTCAATTTATGCCCGAGTTTCTTTTTATCATCACACTCATTTTTGAGTAATTTCGGTAGTCAAACTCTAGCACATGTTATAATTCAGTCATTATGTGCAACGTTTTTCATTAGTTTTTAGATGATAATTGTATCCAAGTTGACAGTTTTATCCCTTAAATTGATGGAATTTGACAGCATGACTAAATTAGAACACGCGTGTAAGGACCGAAATGAATAAAAAAGAGTTGGATGACGAAAATAAAACTCGTGTATAAGTTTATGGACCATTTGAGTTAAAAAATCCTTTGTTTTATAAAATTCATTATTGTAACCTTATTTCAAGTCACTCCTTACAAGAATAATAAAATGGGAGCAGATCTTCGACACCATATTTTTGACATAAATTTTCACCCATTTGATTAAAGTACCATGAATGAATTTTAGCTTGTCAAATATAAGATAGAGTGAATCATCATGTATGTCTATGTTGATTTTATATGGTATGAATTTATTTATTTATTTATTTTTTGAGCTGATCACATAAATCTTCTAAGGAAAATGCTAGGGAGATCAACTTTAGATACCAACTTGTGTATCATCTCTCTAATAGAGCGTGAGACCTATTGTATTGGTGGGCTCCACCTTTATTAGAGATATGGTACATAAATTGGTATCTAAAGTTGGTCTCCCTATCATGACCCATCCTCTAAACTTTATGGGCTCCATCTTTCTTTAAACATCCTAAAAACTTGTACACAATCTCATTGAAAAAAGAAACCCTACACTTATTTTATAATGCATAGAAAGAAAGGAATGATGGAAAAGTTGATTAAGCCCAACTTTAATTAATTAATTTTTGTCGTTAATTTATAGAAGTCCAGTCCAGCCAAATTTTTTGACAATGTTGTACTCATCTTTAGTTTGGAATGTGAAAAGAGAAGAGAATTTGGGCTTGAACACATCACATGCCATAAAAAAAGGAAGTTGATTTTCCCACTCCTCTTTTGTTTACTTACACTCTTTTTGTTGAAAATTGTATGTTCTCACTACTCTTTTGTTCGCTTACACCTCTTTTTTTGTTATAGTAAAAAGTATTTTAAAAAAAGACAAAAGGGAGTGTAAGTGAACAAAAAGGAAGTGAGAAAATCATCACCCAAAAAATAAAATCTGAAGCAGTAAGGTGTGCCTAACGTCAGGATATTGAACTGGTTTTTCAAAGGAATCATGGTTTGCCTTTGATTTGTTTTAAAAGTAGAAGTATTGAGTGAGAGGGCGCCGACTTCCGAGCCTTAAGTTATGCTGTCAAGTCTTATCACAATCTAATTCCAAATTCTTAAGGAGGAAATGTGGCAAAAGCTCTTTCTGCCTTTTACTTCATCAGAATCCTAATGGAGGAAGTGTTTGTTTGCTCACCAAACGTTACAACATGTGAATCAAATGCAAAAGGTGTTGGTGTTGCAATTGCTTTCCCCATTGAGCCTTCACTCAAAATCTTGCACTTCTGACTTGCTTAACATCAAAATCTGGTCAAATATGCATCACAATCTTTATCTACAAATGCGTTTTTCTTTTCTTGGAGGCTGTTTTGGTGGGTGATTCTGATGGCTCAATTTGGGTTAACCCATTAAAATCATTTTATGGTAGTGGTAAGTTCCCTTTCCAAAAATTAAAAGGGGTTTGCCTTGACTTGATTATTGTACTAGCAAGGATTTTATCACACTAGGGGTTTGCAGTGGTATGGCATCTCACTGACATGATGCTCTGTGGTTGCTGTACTGTTAGACTTTTGGCTTATGACTGCGTACACGTTATAAACAATGGTGGAGTGGGGGTAGATCAGTTGATTCAACTGTATACACATTTTAAACCAATGTGGAGTGGGGATAGATCAATTGATTCAATTGACACATTTCAAAATATTAAATTAATAGAGTCAAGTTAAGTTAGTGGTCGGGTTGTAAAGAGCTTGTAGCTCAAGTAGTTAAGAGTAATTTTTCATGTATTTTTTCAAAAATTTCCGAGGCCAAGCCCAAACTTCAACTATTGTGAGTAGAAAATTCCTAGTGACAAAACAGAAGAACTTCACCGAATAGATTATAAGCATCAATGATTTCAGTTGAGTTCCATTTATGTAACGTTGCATATCTTCCCTTCCATGTTTTCTAGTCATACTTTCGCTAAGAATTAAGAATCGACAAACCTATTTTCATTCACCGGAATACAAATACCTAAATACCAACATGGGAGATTCCAAAATTCAATCTATTCATTGTTCAAATTCTCATAAGTTTCTTCAACACGCATTGGTTATAAGACATTGGAAGCGGAGAAATTGTAAAAAGATTTATTTGTTACCATATGAATATGGGCTTTTATATACAGTTTGAAAGCAAAATTCTGGAATAAAAGTTTGTTACAAGAATTATAAAGATGCTGACAAGTGTATGTTCTTGGTTACTGTGACTATTAATTGGAGCCCAAATGTTCATTTCCTTTTTCATTTGAGATATAATGACGCAAAAGCCCAAAACTCATCAAATCCTTGTCCTCCCAATACAGAGTTCCTTTAGGCCAATCTCATAAGTCGTTTTTATTTTTTTTTGGGGTTACAAGGAGGGCCGAAGCCCAAGAGAAAACCAAAAAGAAAACTACACTGGGACAGGCCTAGTAGTGGTCATCCTAACAAAGTCATTTGCCAAGAGGCTTACAATAGAGAGTGCTTCTATAGTGAGTGGAAAGTTATAAGGGGTTTTTTTGAGGGGTATGTAAGAGCCGTTGGATTTCATCCAACGGTGAGTTTTTAAAAGAGGGTGCATGTAGAACCGGGTTGAAATCTGACCCGTTTGGAAACCCAACTTCAGCTGAAGATTTTTCCCTCTCTGTGAAAAACTGAAGAACACAATCCTCTCTTTTTTAATATAATGCAAATCCACAATTAGAAAGATCCAAAGCTCCCAAACTCTATAATCGCTCCATTGTCATCAGCTCCTTGGGAGGCCTGCGATCTATGGTATCCTCGGTATGATGATTAATGGCTTTTACCTAGCTATTGCCCTGTTTTGATTCTATGATTGAAGTGAAAACCCCTTCTCTTTTTCGTTCAGCAGAAGAGATTCCAGATGAAAGCAAAGTAGCATATCTCTTTTTCGTGCTGCTGCAGTTGTTCCTGGATTTTGGTAGAGATGGAGTCTCCACTACGAAAGAATCCTCTCTAATGTCCACCACATTCTTTGAAGCTGACTGAGTTCGGAACTCCCGATTGACTTTGAGAGGTAAGTTCACTATTGCTGGATTGATTTTGTTGGGTTTGATTTGTTTTTTGTGAGGGTGAGAAATTTGTCATTTGTGGCATCAATAATGCGTCATTTGACTTTGAGAGGTAAGTTCACTCTTGCTGGATTGATTTTGCTGGGTTTGATTTGTTTTTTGTGAGGGTGAGAAATTTGTCATTTGTGGCATCAATAATGCGTCATTTGCTCTGCTATCAATAATGCGTCATTTCCTTATGAATATTCAATATACTTAGTTGATTATTTTTGTTTGGAGGGGGATTGGAAATTTATGAAATGTAGGTAAAAGATCCTAAACTTAGGCTTAATGGCATTAGAAGTAAGCATTTGGAGAGGATATTGGGTGAAGTTCTGTAATTGCTGGTTTGAATTACATTTGAGTTCTTAGTTGAACATGTTGGTTCTAATGTTATTTTTTCCAAATTATTTCACAAGAGATGACGTAACTATTATTAAATTTTGCTTGTGTTTTGTGTAATCAGAATCCAACAAGCTAGGCTATGCGTGTATTGTGTCAATTTGGGCAATGTTTTGTGTAAGTGGAATGCATTGATAAGTTGTGATGCAGTAATGATTGATTAATGAATTAACATTTGCTATGCAGTAATATAGAAGTAGATCAATAATATACGTGGATAAAATGTCTGGGGGCTCAGAGAGTGATGACTCTGTAACAGCTAATGGGAGGGTTTACATTCCTGAAGTAAGAAATGAGGAAACACCAGCAGTTGGGATGAAGTTCGACTCGCTTGACCTCGTTTATAATTTCTATAATAGATATGCATTCTTGGCTGGCTTTGGTATTCGACTTCATTCCAGCTTTTGGGGGAAAAATAAGAAAGAGATTCTGAGAAAAGAATTTGTATGTTGCAAACAAGGTGCATACCGGAATGATGAAACTCGGGAGAGAAAAGACAGCGGGGAATAAGTAGATGCAATTGCAAAGCTAAGATTGTGGTTGTGAAGACACATGGGAGCAAGAAGTATACCATCTCTCTTTTTGCAGAGGGACACAATCATAAGATGACACCCTCAGGAAGAATGCATTTACTGAGATCACACCGTCGTATTTCAGATTCTACAAAAGTACTTACAAAACAGTTGGGTTCGGTTAATATTCCCATTAATCAGAAGGTAAGTATTTTCGAGGTGCAATCCGGAGGAATGGATAAAATCGGTTTTATCAAAAAGGATATGTACAATCTTGAATGTAGTGTGAATGGGAAGCTGAGGAACCACGATGTTGAACTAGTGACCGAGTATTTTATGGCTGAACAGAAAAAAAATGAGGCTTTTTATTTCAAGATTGAGGGAGATGGCGATAACAGGTTTAGTCGATGTTTTTGGGCAGATGCAACTTCTAGACGGGCGTACGGGTTTTATGGAGATGTTGTTGTATTCGATACCACATTCAACACGAATAGATACGACTTGACATTTGCACCAATGTTGGGAGTTAATAACCATGGTCAAACAATTGTCCTAGCATGCGCATTTTTGAGCAAGGAAACGACTGAGTCGTTTATTTGGATGTTTGAGGAGTTTAAGAAAGCCATGCCAGGTGGCGAACCTAAAACGATCATCACAGATCAAGATGCGGCAATGAGCAGAGCGATTTCAATAGCCTTCCCGACTACATTTCATCGACTTTGCATATGGCACATCACATCAAAGTTCTCTGTTAAGTTACCACATTCTGCTTATAAGGAGTATTGGGGTGAATTCCAGAAAGCCATATGGGATACTGACAATAAGGATGAGTTTGATGCAAAATGGAATATTGTGGTTACAAAGGCTGGTTTGACTGACCATCCATGGCTAAGTTCAATGTTTGATTTAAGGGAATCTTGGGTTCCAGCCTACGCACGACACTTTTTTGCCGCTGGAATGTCAAGCAGCCAAAGAGCTGAATGTTCTCATGGTTTCTTCAAGCAATACATATCAAGGAAAAATTCGTTGATGGATTTCATAATAAGATTTGAGAGGGCACTTTCTCATCAACGTCAAAAAGAGTTAGTTGCTGATCACGTAGATGCATTTGAAGTGGCTCAATGTATTCTACCGATGCCAATGAACAAACAAATGGCTACCTTGTACACAAGGACAATGTTTCAAAAGTTTGAGCAAGAACTAATACAAAGTACAACATGTTTCCTAGAGCTGAAAACAGAGGATGCTTCTAAAGTTGTCTTTAATGTGAGCGAAAGGAAAAATTGGGAAACAAGAGTGGCAGAAGTCGTATATGTCAAAGATTCTGACCACGCATCGTGTAGCTGCAAAAGATTTGAATTTGTTGGAATTATTTGCAAGCACATCCTAGCATTGTTTAGAAGGGACCAGATTGAATATATGTCCGATAAATACATTTTGAAGAGGTGGAAGAAAACTGCGAAATTTGGATTGGTGTCAGATGCAAATGGCAACGAAATTAAAGACTCTGCAGATCCTGGTCTTTTAATAAAGCGGAGTACAATGTCCCGACTTGCTTCAGATGTGGTTGAGGATGCATTAATGTGTGAAGAAGGATGTGAGCTACTGTCAGAGACTCTAAAAAGTTTGCAGGTGAAGTTGAAGTTGTTGAAGGATGGACCAAGTAATAACGAAATTGGAGGGTCCAGCTCTCAAACACAATATATGAAAGACCCTAAGAGAGTAAGGTGCAATGGAGGGTCGAAACGAGTAACGGGAGCAAAGAAAAGGCAATGAAGCGAGGGATTAGACACTGTCGGGAGTGTGGACACATTGGTCATGATAGAAGACAATGCCCAAGAAATTTGAACACACCGTAAGATGTTAACACTATTTATAATAAGACCTAAAATTTGAATAGGTAAAGTTCTTATGTGCTTCTGTTTGATGTTTATGCAGGACATCACCGTCGAACAATGACGAATCAACTCCAATAGATCTTAGTGACCCATTATTTGACGAATTTTACAGGATGCACGGACCAACTCAATGATTTAGGTTTCTATTATACGAAGCCCGGTTATTATGAAGACTAATGATCAGGTGAAGTTTTCTAGATGCAGTTTTATTATTATTATTTTTTGTTCATGTCCACCGATGAGCTCTGACTATGTCCATTGATAATTGAAATGAAAATTTGCTTGGTTTCATTCTTGCATGAAATTTGGACACATGTTAATTTTACGTCTTCTCCCTATTTAGAAATTTTCATAGACATTAGATAAAGCATCAAATTTTGATTTATGTGAAGAAGCAATGACTTTTACCTTGTAAAATGGGTAGTTTATGGTGAATTATGTTTGAATAGAGATTTATTGATTATATGACAGGCTAATGCAGCATTTCCAGCAGCCAGCTATTGTTTCCATTACCAGTAATGATTTCCAGCAGCACGCATCATTTGTAGCAGCACCCACTTTTTGCGAATGTTATGTTCTAGTGTTTTACTGGTGATTAAGATCTGAGCTGGACTGGTTATTAGGTGCACGATTTTGCAAACATTCGTAGCTGAAGGATACTTGAAGCATTTTGTTGGAACAGAAAGATTAGAAAGCAACGTGTAAAAAAGTACATTGCAGCTAATCACATTTCGAATGGTTGGGTAATATTAAAGGGTACACTAACATTTGAACTACTCATAATTCTACACACAAAAGAAAATTTGATTGCAAAGCATTTTATGTGCTCCCTCTTAGCAATAGCACGATCTCCCCAATAAATTGAACAACGGTAGCCACAATCACTAGGTCGTATTGGTCAGCTTCTTCTTAGCAGGTCTCGCGTGCTTATGGTCACTCATGTCCCCAGTGATTTAGACAAAATAAATATTCAGCAATATTTGGAATTTTATTATATATACATAAACCATAAACCATTCACTACACAATGTATAGCACATGGCATTTTACTTATGACTCACGTGTCATGATAATGGGGCTTTACTGATTACCAAGGTGCTGTGATATTGACTGCTTGTTGAATAATATTTCCATAGTTGCAAAATATAATGTTAGACAGAAGGAACACATGATGACTTGCAAGACATAGTCCCAATAATTATATATGAAGAAAATGAAACTGATATTTGTATTATTTTATATTAGATAATGACATTAAGGGAATATAGTTCTAATTTGTGCAATACCACGATCACCCCCAACCAACAGAACAGCTGTAGCCGCAATCACTTAGTCGTATCGGTCGGCTTCTTCCGAGCAGCTTTGACGTGCTTATGCTCATTCATGTCACCACCATCGTCTAGTATCTCTCTCACAGCATCAGGGGACACATAGTCCCAATTATAACTTGTATGAGTTGTTGCCGCGAATGCTCGGAATTTTTCAAATCCTTCGTTGAATGCCAACTCCATTTCACTGTGGTGCTCTTCACATCGCATATGGTTCATCAAACAACCTTTAATTTCATCATTCATTACTGCATCCAACTCCTCAGCTTTCAGCTTCCTTTTATGACTCAGCTTCAAGTACTTGTTCTTTTGGGAGAACGCTTTGTTCACTCTAATGTTAAGATCAGCCAAAATGGCCTCTTCTTCAACACATTTCTCGTGCCATGAATTGATCAGTCTGGAATTATAATCCAGCTTGGTACTGACTGCATCTATTGCCTCTAATGGATCATCGGAGTCCCCCTCACTCCCAAATGATGTTGAAAATGGAAGGGGTCGGCGAGTACAACGTGGAAACGGAACCTGCGACTCCAATTTTTCATCTTCGATTGTGTTGTTGGCGCCTGAAGAGGTTGACATACTTGAATAATCCTATTTGTTTTGGAGGATGAGGATTGCAGATGCAATTTCGTTTGAGAAATGGAACATAGCTTTATAGACCAACATACCAAAGCTTGCGTGTAGTCAACATATCTACTTTATTTCAATTTTAAAAAAAGAGGTGTCAGGTTTTGCTTTTCAAGCATGTCAACCTCACACTCTCCTTACACCACTGTTAGTGGTTGAAAGAAACTCAATGGAAGTGACATCTAGTTAGTGAACCCAACCAAACTAAACAAACTAGTTAGGATTAAACTTAGATTGTATGAGACCTTTTTTCATTTATACATTGTCAACCAAATGTTTTTTTTGGCGGGAACCCTTTTTTATTGGTATTACTATCACCCCCTTCATAAAAATTCTCCCTCCACAAAAAACTCACTCCTCCACCGAATCTGTCTCCATCTACTGAAACTCTCTCCTCCACAGAAACTCTCTCCCCCCATTGAATGGATTTACTAACCAAGTTTGATGTGAGCGTAATAAACACCCCTCCAAACAAAGACCGCCTTCGAAACGCAAGTGAGTCACCAGACAAGCAATGTCACTTTCCTAGACAGAATGACCATTTTGTTGGAAGTTTTGAGTCTGAAAGAGTTCTTGCTTTCTGGAAGGAGAGGCATCTTCAACTTGGTGATGAAATCCAAAGGGCAAGGGTACGTTTGGAATTTGTTGAAGGCCAAATTGAAGATGACAAAAGGCAGGCCAATCTGGATAGGGCGAAGTTGCAGCGCATGAAGCGTAGACACAAACGACTTCGGAGTGTAGCTGTTCAAAAATACAAGAACTCATCTAATGCAAAGGAGTCAAAGAAGCGTGTGATGCAAGCTGGATTCGACTACTTCCGGTCCTATGCAAAACTTGTCGTACCCGGGTTTGATTGGTCATCTATTACCGTTTCCGACGTTAACAAATATACTCAGCAAGGGAAATGACCATTTTGGTTATCGTGTTTGAGTAGAGGCAAATCAGAGGAACTCGAATTTTCGTTAAGCTCTGCTTCAAACCTATTTTGATGCTTACTACTATAGAAGATTTCAACCTTCATATTTTCATGTCTTTAATTACGATAACACGATGCAAAGTGCCCATCTACTTCAGTCATATGTTGCTGCCATGTCCATTTTTTTGTGATCACGTATCAGATTTGGACATGGTTGCATCATATGCAATGTTGCCTTTATGTATTATATGTTAGGGTAAGGTTTATGGAAAAGCATGTGTGACTGGTTTTGTGACAAGGTTATGGCATTATTTTGTACCAGTTATATATTGTTTTTTGTACTGGTTCATCTCCTACTATTGCTTTATTTCTTTATATTATATGTTTATGCGATTGGACATGATAGAAAATATATTACTGATTCCCAATGCGGCGTCATAAGGACAACTTATTGAATACCGCCGACGTGTTGAAAACTCTAGGTGCAGGTGCATATGGACAACTTATTGACTATCTCTGACGTCTTCAAAGCTCTAGGCGCATGCGCAGTTCCAATTATGGCTTCCAAGTAGTGGTGCATTTATTATATATGTACATTATTATAACCAAAACAGATAATTTTACATCCTTATATATGAAAGGAAACTAATTCTTGTATTAGTACAAATTATATAACGAATATTAAGGAAATATACTTGTTAAAGTGAACAACATATATACTTAGGGTTAAGAGGAAAGTGAGTTATGTAAATCATTTTTAAATTTTTAATTTCGAAATGGATGATCTATGGGTTCCCCTCGTTTTATAACGTCACACGGAGGCCGGAGTATTTTTCGGGGCATTTTTAGGATTTTTCTACTATTTATTGCATTTTTTCAAAGATTTTTGCACTAAAAAAGCCAAAATAATTGCCACATGGACACCTGGCGCGATCTCAGCCCCTCACCTTTCACCCCTTGACAAGTGTGCGTCAGTCAACATGGCCACATCCTTACCTTTTACCCTAAATTATTATTTTATGACTTTTTCTTAGAAAATTCATAACTAAATACACAAAAATCACAATAATGTTCCGAAAATTGCTACGACCTCATTGAGACTTCATCTTCCTCCTGAATTCCTTGTTTCATGGTTACGCTACATTAGTATTTTATTATTATTTATCCAAAATTATTTTTATTATTATTGTTATATTACTTGTTAGCTTGTACATTTGTTAATTATATTTACTCCAAATTTTTAATTTTAATTTTATTTTCCGTGTGAATAGACCATTTCTGGTGCTAATCAGTTTCTCTCTTCTTCAATTTGTTAATGTTTTTTCTTTTTTAGGTGTAAGGGATGTTTTCAAACATAAAATGGAAATATACAAGCCATCCATTCTACAACATCAGGAAATAATTATTCAAAGTCTTTCACTGTTCAAGTTTTGCTTAAGAAACGTGTAACCCAATCATTTGGGATATGCTAAGTGGGAAAATGTCATTCCCAAGAACCGGTGAAAAGACACATACTCACTTCATGCATGCGTTTTCGTTTACCAAATATTAAGATTGCAGTTGTGCAAAATATCTGTGTCAGTAAAATGTCATTCTTAGCCGTCAATTATGTCAGTAATAATTCCACTATATAGCAAATATTATACATTTATATATAAAACGGGCTAGGACAGCACAAACACCAGACAAAATAGATTAAAACATGAAATAGAAAACAACATTTGTAGAACATAGACACGCATAAAAACCGTAGAAACATACTCCAACTAATTATAAGGGTATGGATTCCCTGGCACAACATAGACACGCATCACCTTGAACCAAAAAACACTCTCACGGTGCCATTTGCATCGATTGCAACAAGTCCAGAAGGCAGGATTGATCTTTTCTTCACTAGGCCAGTCTGGAATAACAAAACACCAGTCGTTGTTGTTACAAGCGCTGCATTGATTGAACTTAATCTTCCCATAGTGAAACATATCTACGATATGTCTTCCAACAGAGAAA